AAAAAAAAAAAAAAAAAAAGAAAAAAGAAAGAAAAAAGAAAGAAAAAAAAAAGAAATACAAAGAAAAAATATGTGTATCTATAGAATTAAAAGAGCTGAGATTCACTGGTAAATCTTGCTTATGTTTTTTTTGTTTTTCTGTTTGGGCCAAGAGAACCCCGGTTGGTTGTTTGTTCTCTCTGTTGGAAACCAACCACTTACGAGTCACTTTCTTAATTAACCCTTATCATTACAAATGGTACCTACAACATACATTATATTCTAGAAAACCTATTTCTTATTTATACATATATGTACATATATACGCATAATGTACACATATGTTATGTATATATACATATATTTATTGTACTTGGCGTATAATTACGCTAAATTATGACAAAACTATGTTTTCAACAAAATTTCCGATGATAATTTCTATGTAAAATAGTTAGAAGTATTGTATTGCGAGTTTATAGAAAGTTTTTATAAAAATGTATAACGTTATTATCAACTTACACGCATTAAATTGTCATGAATTATGTGAATTTGTTGAAAGCATTTGAGAAGTAAAATTCTTGAAATATATATATTATGACATATGAATAATTTATTTGGTTTGTTCCGACCTGACTTCTCTCTATGAATTGAATATAAGAGAAATATCTTGTACTGACATATTCATTTAGATTATAAAATTTCTAACCTAGAAAGTTGAATTATTTGAAATTATTTGAAAAAATGTAACATGGATTTTAATGAGAAAAAAAAAATCTAATAAAAATTTCTGTTCTTACTTGATACACTATCGAAAGAATGAAACTTTTTCCATCATACTGGAGATTGTAATATTTATAATTGGACATTAGACAGGTATGGGAATCGTCCGTATACACTGGCTTGTAAAAGTTCGAATGAGGTCGTGGTTAGTATACATATACTTATTAACGTCCCGTAGAACCTTATTCGGGTCACTTCGTGACGCTTCGTAACCCTTCGTGTGTCACTTGTATTTTGTGGTTATTCGGTGGGTGAGCCGGACTTTCCTGTTAAAATAATAATAATTAGAATCATACATTCTTGAAATTTCGTGTATCAAGAATTATCTCGTAAAATTTTGTTTAAATATTCTTCTTTTTGATTAACTAATTATTTTTCATAAATTATATAATGTTAAAAAAAATAAATACAAAAATAAATACAATGTTATTTACTATTTTTATAATTCATTTTTCAAACAATTTTAAAGTTTATTTCTATTCACTTTTATGTAAATTAATTAAAGTTTTTCTTACTTGATAAATTAAAAAATAATTAAAGGAAAATAATCAATGCTGTAGTTGTCAATTACAGTAAATTACAAAATTCCTTTGTGGTCGTTAAATTATTTTCATAAAATTGGTTACGCAAATGAAATAAGTTGCAACAGAATGAAGAGATTATTAAGTTTAAAATAATTAACGGAACAATGGATGTCAAATTGTTACATAGAGACAAAGTCTGCATTATCTACAATTTTCACTGTTTGCTCTGATGGTAACAAAATAGGAATTGTTTATTCTCCTAGCTTTGAAAATTTAATTAATAATTCATCATAATTTGTTATATTTATTTAAATACAATCAAAATTCGTAAAATTATTTCATTCTTTATAAAAGAAATTTTACTAGAAAAAACTATTAAATTACTTTCAAACAAATGGCACTGTCTTTCGGTGAACTTTTCTTATGTGCATTAAAGACCCTATTTCATTCTGTTGAATTTTAACAAGCTTTGAATAAGTTTTGAGATTATTTAAATGAAATTTCAATGAAGTCGGAGGGAAGGGGAAAATATTGGATTTAAAGATAATTATAAAGAGGAGAACGGAGAGTAAGTTATTGATCCAAGGAGGGAGACGGTGCATTTATGAAATTGCATTTATGAAACAGATAATATTTTATAATTAAGGGCATCAATTTCTAGGCCACACCCACACATAATGCCGTGGCTCAAGTATCATTGTTATTCTCATGAATTTAAATAACTTTTTAATAATTTTATCCGTGATCACGGGAATAAGTGCTGTTCAAACATAAAAGCTTATAACTAGAATTTTCAAAAGTCCTAGAATCATTGAAAATTATAGGATTGAATCAGAACGAATTTATTTTATTGCTGAAAATTTTGTATCAGCAAAATTGAATTTCAAAGTATTATTGCTTCCATTTAATTTTCTCTCTCTATATTTTTTTTTTTTTTTATTTTACTTTACTTTTTAGTTGAAAATTTCAAATATATACAAATTTCAAATATATAATTACATCAAGTATAATTTTTTTGAATATAATACAGAATATAATAGAATTCGAATAAAAAGCACGAAACTGATTATAGTACGCGTAATATATGTATATTTATCCTACGATGCTAGAATATTATGAAAGGAGGAGACATCTGGCGGGGAATGAAAGTACACTAATAGAGGGGACGGATACCATTAATAATTACTTTTAATGAATTTAGTTTACGAAACGCAAATGAAAATTTCTATTTTTCAATACACTACGAATGGAATCCAAATAATTATTTAATCGAATTAAAATAAAAAAGCAAACATGAAAAATGATTTAACAACGGGCAAAATTTGAATTTATCATTTGACCAATGCATCCATATTTATATCGGGTACTTTTATCGAGGAACTTACTCGTTCGAGAATACCAGGGAAATTAATTCAATTTAGTTGCCGTACAAAAGAATAATGGACTGCGATTTAAATGGTATTGTAAACCTTGTGCTGGAAAAAAAAATATTGCGCACAAACTTCAATGAGTCATCGTTTTAATAATAGCGAACAATCAGTTCGTATGATGATTTTAAGATAATATTATTTTTTGAACTTATAAATATTTTTTCTTTTTTTCGAAAAAAAAAAATTAAAATCTTCATCGTTTTTATATTCATAAATAATTACACGAGACGAAATAAAAGTTATGTTTCTTATCAATCGTATATTAACTATATTTTTATGATAATTATTTTTTTATATTTTTTTAACGTGAAAGAAAATATATTTTTAACGTATTTTATTTTTAATTGAACAAATATATATTCTCTTATGAAGTTTCTTACGCGTTATTAATTTTTATAAAACGAAATATGATAGATATGATGATTTTATAAAACAAATATTATATATTATTGTTAAAAAACGTATTTTCAGAGAAAATTCAATATAGTCCACGAAATATTGCTGGAAATATTTCTCGTCCATTGAAAAGGTATTACTTGTATATCGTGTTAGTTCTTTTTCCACCGTACGAATTACGAGTTCTTGATTTTTCGAGAGAAGTTTTCCTGCAGTATTATTAAGTACTAAAGTGCGGCTTCTATATCGATAAAAGACTTAACTTCACGATACCCATACATAAAACACGATATTCAAGAAAGATTTCGAAAAAACGAGAAAAGGATGAAAGATTCGCGTTTTGAATATAATCGAATGCAAACAAATTTATTGCTATTCTTATTACCTTTTAAATTTGAAATTCGAAAATAAAAAAAAAAAAAAAAAAAAAAAAAAAAGAACAAGAAATATTACGAATATTTTCTCGAATAAAATCAATCATAGCAATGATATAACAAACATTGCTTGTATTCAATACTTAGTAGTAAAAAAAATATGACTTTATCATGAAAATATATAGGGAAACCAATAACGAGAGTAATAATTGCGACGTTAAAAAATAAATAACAATAAATAGAAAAAAAAAAAAATAACACGTCACTTTTTAAATTGAACGACTCGATTGATTATGGTTATTATACTTTGTATAATAAAACACAATGTTACCGAGCGAGCAAACTGACGTATCAGTTATTAAAAGTTTAATCATTTCTATTTCAAGGTACAGGCCGAGCGACAAGTTGGTAGATATGGAAGAGAGAGTACAGTCAATGGGAAAAGTTTCGCGTTTCGCATACTGGATCAATGCAGTTTCGCCTGAGCTCGTTGGTTTACGTAATATTAAAACTATTTCGGAATTTCGTTTCGCGTAATAACATAGTAACGTTGAGAATAGAATGTACCGATCGGATACTGTTTTCAAATTTACTGTACTTTATTGCGGTTACACGAGAATAAAAGCATTTTTAAAAATATATATCGCAAGAGAAAAAGCTCGCGGCTAGATTTTCGTGCGACGATATTTTTGTTTTTTTTTTTTTTTTTTTTTTTTGGTTTTTTTTTCCCCATCGCGCTCAGCCTTTCTTTTGTCCCCGGTCGATATTTTAATTAAACAAAATGGAATTAAATAACGTTTCGTATTAAGGAAAATTCTACATCGTTGGATATTTTTATGCCCGACATAATTAAATTAAATGGAAGGAAATAAATAATGGTAAATAATATGAAATAATAATGATAAATGCAATTCCCTTTAATTTGATTAATTCTTTTCGTTTTTCATCACGCTATTTTTCGAAATATGAAAACAATTTTTAATCCTTTTTTACGCGATATAATCGTGGAAAGGGGGAAGCAAATAGTGAAAGAGGACAATTATATTATTTTCTCGGATGATTAAAAATGGAAACCGTTGCGATGAAACGATAATTGACCAATTAAGATCAGTCACAATGCACTCGTTTTTACGCATTTTATTTACAGACCGGTGCGATGTATTAACTCTTTATGGTGGTCATAAATCATGAACTATCCACGAGCAACACGGTTCACCTGGTCGCATCATGTTAATTTTAGTGGCTATCGATCAGAAAGCTTACAAGCGTACCAGACTTTTACCTCTATATACCGACTATGTGATTTCTAATTATTACTTACATGCATTCATAATACCGATACGAATTCCACGAAGGTAAAATGCATTTCACCGAAATTGATACCGTTAATTAAATTGTCGAGATAGCATAAATCGACAGCCTTTTAGAAAATTAATTAGATTTCATTTGAAACAAGATTAATTTAGCAATAGGATAACTGGATTTGAGTTTCTTAGTTTCTTAGTATTCGTAATATCTTTTTTAGCATCTTAAAAGCATCTCCAAATACTTTTATTGGTCGAAGAAGAAACGTAATCGATAATTAAAAGGATATTTCCAAATCGAAGTAAAACTGAAAAAGAAAGAAATTTATATAATCACGAATTCTATTTTTCATCGCAACATATAATATATTATACTTACCGTAAAAATGAATGCTCCTTCAATTCGATATTACGTATACGATATATTACGTATTATTTCGTTTAGAAAATTTCTAAAAAAAGATAGTGATTAAGAATACGATGAAATCACACAATTTTAATTTTGCGTTGGTTAATATTAACGTTTCCAAGCGCGTGTCGATCCATTCGTCAACGTTTACACGGCCACAATGAGAAGCAATACTTGTTACAAGGCCATCGCTACAAACAGTGGTGCCTCGATTGTTGCAAAAACAAAAATACACAAAATCTCGAGATTAGTCAGCAGATATATTTGTGTATATTCATTTGCCATATTCGAATCCTTCGACTTCTACGAACGAATAATAATAACACGTCGTGTTTGCTATTCCGTATTTGTTTTTCTATAATATATAACGTACGTGTATCGTATAATTTTGTAATTGATAAGATTTATTCACATTTCTAATTGTACAACATTATGGTTTATCTTTTCGTCATTAATAATAATGACAATTAAAACTCTGTGGAAAAAATAAATGATGATTTAAGGAAATTATTTGTTTGAAAATTAAATTAATTATTTGTTTAATTCTTACGAATTTTTCATCGAATTATATATTTAAATCATGAAGATCTTAATAAATTACATATCGATTCGCGGAAAATAAGTTTTTGATGTCGAAATTGAAAATAGAAATAATTAAATAAAAAAACAAATTTACCTAAGTAATTTTACTACTACTTAGATAACTCAATTAACTCAATAATAAATTTATATCAAGTACAGCGAAATCAATATTTGCAACATAATTAACTTATTTTTTTTATATAATCAAATGATCTGATTATCATTATAACAGACGTGTACAATGAAAATATTGTGCAACTATCATCATTAGCAAACAAGATCCGTTCAATGGTATCGAGCAAGAGTGGTGAAAACAATTATAGTTATTAATAATAATCGCGAACGTAATTATCCCTTTCGAGAGTATAACGTAATAACGTTATTTGTATATACGAAAATTAATAACGTTCCCATTAAATTTCCTTTATTTGTCTATTTAATTATATAACGAAGTTATATTCGAAGAGAAAATTGAAAGGAAGATTTTATCATTATATCTCCTATATTGTTTCGTCAAAAAGAGATAAATTTTATTCTCCCTTGTCGAAGAATCGTGTTTTTCTCGTACGCCCGTTTAATCAATATATTTGTTTATTCGAGTTGCGCGTACGCAAATGCACAGCATGTTGGTACACACGTTGTATCGATCGTATTAATATAATGCTTTAATTATTAATATTAGATAATAACATGCAAATTCTGGATACGTATACATACGTATCTGGGTGCATGGATAAACAAATCATTTAAGCTCTGTATCGGTCATGCGCTGTTAAAAAGTTGTTTGATATGCAAACGTGTATTGCTTGTATAACAAATATATTCGAAAAAACTGACTGTTCCAGCTTTTTCCATGAGTTTTGACGTGTCGCGCAAAACGCAACTACCTTGGAATTCATATTCATGTTTCAATTCTTTGTCTTCTCGTCTGTTTGATCGTCGAAATGATTTCATTCTTTTTTTCTTCTTTTTTTTTTTTTTGTGGTCAGCCATTTCACCGTGCTGTACGAATAACGCATTTATATCAAAATGGAGGATAAAATTAAATTATTTTTACGCGTTAACAATATTGAGGTTAAATTATTACTTCGATAATTAACAATAATAATATTAATATACATATACGTTCTAAGGTACCTAAAGTAATTACGGTACCATAATAATTATTAATATTAATAATATCGTTTATTAATATATAATTAATATGTAATAATAATAACTAATTCTAATGAACCTATCGATTCCCTTCTCATTGATTTTAATGAGGCTGAAATACGTTTTATAAAGGATATTTTCAACAATTTTATTCCTTATTGACTGAGTTTTTTTCTTCTTTTTTTTTAAATTATTAAAATATTTTATGAATCTAATTGTAATTTATCTCTTCTAATTGTAAGAAAGTCCAATTTGTGTATTTCGATCGATGTTAGAAGAGGTAAAGGACCGAAAATAAAACATTTTATCGAATAATCTCGTAATGACGCAGGAACAACGTGTTTCACAACCGCATGAAGTAGTTGCATGGGTGGCCGGCACAAAAGGCAGAGAAAATAAGCTTGCCGGGTTTACGATCACGGTGTGGGGATTAGGATGGCAACAGATGTCTAGCAAACGTACATCTCGTTTAAACGATAACTTAATTGTCTATTATTTAACGGAAGGAGGGAAGAGAGAAAGAGAGAAAGAGAGAGAGAGAGAGAGAGGAGGGGGGGAAAAAAAGCAATCGATATCGTTGATATTGAACGCGTACATTTGGTTAAATGAAACTTTTGTCCAAATCGAACGTGACATTTAATTTTATCTCGTTCCGGAGACAAATAAAATAACTACAACGTGTGCTCATTTGTGTCCGCTCATTTTTCAATGTTTCGAAGATTTAACTTGTTTATTTGCGAGATTTTTTTTTTTTTTTTTTTTTACCCCGTTTGTTTGAATTTAACGAACTTGTATTCTGTCTTCTGCAATTGATAAAGTTAGTATATCGGAAGAAATAAACATGGAAATTGAATTAATTAAATGATTACGATTACGTGTCAACTCGAACATTCAGGGATTCGAACGTCAATCAATTGTATTATACATATAATTCAATATATCCTCTTGAATAAATTTTACGACGATATTCCAGGTTACGTTTCGCTCTCCTGTCGTTAAATTTCAAGTGGAATAATTGAATAAAGGACATGTCAAGTGACAAAACTCGTTTCATTGTGTTAACTGGAGAATCAAACAAGTTTTATGGAAGCGAGGCAAGTCAGTGCAATCAAGTGCCGCTTTGTAAATGGATGTTTAAATGCACGGGCAAAAATTGTGATTTTTCCCTCGCTGTTATTATTAATATAAAAAAAAAAATCTTGTTATTTTATTGGATACTCTTTATAATTTATTCTTAATACACTTTTTTAACACGGTCCGAAATTAAAATAATTTACATGGAATTTAAATTTCATGGATTATTTTTAGTTTTTCAAGAGAAATTGAAAGACTCGAGCGAATAAAATATTAATATTAAATTTTAATATAAACGATAAATTTTTTAATTGTATTTTTAAAAATTGAATTATTTGTTATTATTATTATTATTAACGTTATATAAATAATTATTGAATAATTACTTACCAATTTTCGATCATATTTAATAAATCTAATAAATATTCCAAGACTTTTCAACACAATTTCATGGAAATAGCATAATCATAATAGACACTGAAAAATAAAATTTAAGATAAGAATTTATGAATAAAAAGATGGAAGATTTATAGAAATATTATAATAGAGGATATAAGATTATAATTATAATAGAGGATGTCATAAAGAATACGTGACAGATGTATCCACTCGTATATATTTTTCATGCTATATATATATATATATATATATATATACATAGTCCCGTTGTATGAACTGTTTACGAACATTTTGTTCATGATTTCCACGGAGAGTTACCGTACTATATAAGTACTTCGAGTATTATTGAAGTTTCTATTCTATAACGAAGTAACACCGTTCCAGAAACTTGTACCTGCGACGAACTTAACTTTTTCGAAGGAGATTAGCAGAAATTTCTCCATTGTATCAATGACAACGTATTCCAGTTCCATCTATTTTTAAAAATAATCACGATGTATGATTTGTCCCATGCATACGAGTTAATAAGAACTTCGTAATTCATGGGAGCAGCAGCATCGATGATTCATGATGAACTTGATAGCATTCAATCCCCATAAAGTATACCAACGTGATATTCGAAGTAAATTCATTATCCAACTACTTTGATCGTTAATCAATTACTCGGCAAGCTATTGGGAGACACGTATACGAAGCGAATTTATTGTACTCGAGTATCTCGATGTAATTATCCCCGTGCCATTAGCGCCATCGAATAATCACTATGCATTAACAAGTCTCACAATTATGACACGAATACTTAAGCTCTAAGGACAAATAATTCTGACGCATGATATCGCACAGTTTACGTATGTTTCCCCCCATCCCTTACGAATATCGGGAGGGGAAACGCCTCGAAGAGAAAGTAATATAAGAGAAGAATTTTATTTTTACGCTGGATATGAAAGAGCTGAAATTATTCCACTCGAACTTTAACGAGTAGAACTCGGCGCGGAAATAATTTCGTTTCATTGTTTCCTGCGAGAATGTGAGCCTCTCCCGTT